TCCACTGTTGTCCTTTATTTACCTGCCTTAATGACTGGAAATCAAAGTGCTGGAAACACAAAACCAAATTGTTTTACTGATACATTTTTTACCTTCCATCCTGGCAAGGACATCTAAGTTGTATTTCTTTAAGGTACCCCCTTGCTGAGGCTGCATTAAGTCTCCAGCTAAGTTTGGAGAAAGGTCAGCAGGTTACATTGGTACTGTAAGTGCATAAGAACAGCTGTGGCTGCTCTGGCTCAGATGGTAGGAACTGGTGTGCTGGCACTCACAAGGCTTCTGAGTTTGGCTGTGTGAGTTATGTAGCTGATGTTATTAGTGGAAAGTGAGTATGTTATGGCAGGGAAGCAAGGGTAAAATAACTTGAAGTACTGAATATATGGAAGACTAAGGTAAAAGGAAGGACAGAAGGGGAGTTATCAGCTTCTAGATCTCTGAACTGAAAAGGGAGAGGTGTCATGCAAGAGTAACCAAGGAATGGTGGCAGAAGGGAAAATGAGCCAGCAAGATGGAGAAGGCAAGGTGAAGAGCCCTGCAGGAAAGCAGAGGTGAGCTGGAACAACTGCTGAAGGAAGGAAGCAGCTCTGTCACTCACAGTCTGGAGCAAATTCAAGGGGAAGATAGAAAAAGAAAGTTGGGAGGGGGATTCTGGCAATTGCAAGCAAGTGCATTAAGATGTTGGAGTATCATGTCACTGTGGGAATGGGTAGCAATTCTTCTGGATTTCAGTCATTTCCCTAGAGCCAGGTTCTGATGGGGACCTCATAGCAGTAACTGGCAGTGAATGGCTTGGGAGAAGTGACAAGTTGCACTGGTAATTTTATCCTATCGAGGTGGTTTTTTTATTGTTTCGTGTTTGGGGGTTTTTAATGCCTGTGAGGTGGTTCTGGTTGAGTAGGATGATTTTGAAAGGCAGGATTCCCATTATGCCATACAGAAAGACTGAACTGCCCAAGTAGAGTGACACTTGCTTTAATTGGTCATAATGGTATGGTCCATGCTGGCAGATGTTGCATTTGTCTTGACCTTTCATTCAAGTGCAGAGACTAATGCTTTTGCAAGAGGGAAGGAGAGCTTGTTTGGAGCTGTAATTACCAGACCAGAATATGTCTTACTGTGCAGTGGGAACATACTAGAAATAGAAGATTTTATTTGTTGGACAGTGATAGTATCATAATAGAAGCTTAGCCTTGCCACTCCCATGTCAGTGTTAGTTTGTGAGTAATTGGTAAAAGATCCCAGGATGAATGTACTGGTGGAAGATATAGTGTGAAAAGTGAGCTTTTGTTTGTTTGCCTCTAAAATAATTTTTACCTGTTTAACATTTCTGTTCCTCACTTAGTAGTTGTGCCTGCTGTTAAAATCTACCTGTTCAGAAGCTCCTTCCATGGCTTTACAGCTCTTTTCTATCTTAATGACTGGAAAACATATGATATATTAATGTATCACAGCGTGGGGAGCACCAGCAAGTTCTGGCTCTACTTAATGCCTTCCACAGTGCTTTGTCCTGAAGGGTAGATGTTTATTATTTTATTTCTAGAAGAGAATTAAACAGCACAGCTATACTTCATCAACTGTATTACTTAGAGGTGTTTCTGTTGCTGTTTAATGATTTTAAAAAAAATAAAAATAAATGGTTTTGGTCCTTTGTAGAAGGTGGCAAGAAAGCACAACACGTTCCTTCAGCAGGAGTACTACTTGAGTGGTCACAGTGAACTGGAAATTGCTGTTGCACAGCAAACTCAGTTGTTTATCTCAGTTTTTCAGCCCAACACATTTTAAAGTCTGTGTGTATGTAAACTATGAGACATTTAAAAAACTGTGCCTGATTAGATGACAGGCTAAGGCAGGGTCAGTTGGTGTCCAAAGGCTGATGCAGTTTTATCTGGGTGATGGGGCTGCTTGGTAGTTGACAGGTCAACCAGACTGAAAAATGTGCATATTATTTGCAAGTCTGTGTTGGATCTGGTAGTGGCTATTGGAGCCATTGTCACTCCTCAAAAATACAACTGAGTTGGTGCTTTTCCTCCCCATGTCGGGATAAGTAGCTCTTACTGAGTACAGGTTTTGGCCAGCCTGGGCTAAGACTGTAGTGAATTTCCTGTTGGTGTTATGTGGATGTACCAGCTTTGTGTGGTAAAGAAACAGAGATGTTAAAAAGCACTTAGGTGCCTAGGAGTCCATTAGGGATATCACAGTTACCTAAATATATGTGTGCAGGCACTCTGTAGCCCCTAAGGGAATATTTTTCAACACTACTTTTTTGTTTTAAAATGATCACTCTTTCAATAGAAAAAACAACTGTTTGCAGTCATCTACTGACTGAAACCTCTCATAGGTGTGCTTCCAACAGTAGATGAATAAAGATAGTATAGACATCTGTCTCTTAGAGGCTCCTGGCGTCTGTCACATAAAATCAGTTCTGGGTGCAGAGGTAGAAAGACTAGTTTCTGTGGCAGTGGCTAAAAGTCTCTTGGTTTTGCATCATCTACCATGTTGTGCAGGTACAGGTCTTGCCCTCCTACTTGTTCATGCTTATTGTAGTAGATCCTTTTCAACACAGGTGCCTGTGTAAGTTCAGTCACAGTCCCTTGCAGGCATCTTCTTCAGCTAGAGAGCAGTATTTGGGAGCCATTGACTTAATGTGAAGAAACCTCTGCTCTGTTTAATTTTGTCCTTAGGAAATTCACCCAGAAGTCTTTGACACCTAGGGTTGGATTTGAGACTGTCACCGGTGTGCAGCTGTATGTGTTGCTTCAGGGAGACTTCTTGCCCATGAATCCTGCTCTTCACTATAATTTTCTCTTGTCCGACGTAGCCATGCTCTGTTTACCTCCCACACATCCCTAGAAGGCCGCCAAGCACAGCCTGCTTCCCCCACACCTCGCATACTTGTCACAAATGCAGTGACAAGTATTTGTGTTTGCCAGCTTGTGTAAGTCTCTTTTCATCGTAGCTTGAGAACATGTTCCTGCCCCCTTTTTTTTTCTCCTGTCTTCTGTAGCTTGAATGAACTTTTTTTTTTCTGTTTCTATAGTTACACTGTCTTTGATGAAATCAGCCAAGTCTTTCCCTTATGATTGGAGGCAATTCTTAGCTGTACGGGTTCTGGGAGTAGTCTCATCCAACATTAGTCTTCACATAAGCATTATGTCCATGTTTTTGGGAGTCTTTATATGTTTGTTTCTGTTCCAGGAATACTGTTATCTATGTAACAGAAGTTCATAGCCATCTTGAAAAGGAAACTCAGCATTGCAGTATACAAATCTGGCATTCAAATTTGGGCCAAAACTATTCCAGACCTTAAACTGATCCTTGCAGTTTTTATTTTGGCCATCAGTCAGATTCGGCATGTGGTGTTCCCTGGTCACTTTCCCCCTGTTCTTTTGAAACATTGTTTTACTGTCTTCTGGACACTTGCACATACAGAGGATTTCAGAACACTGTATTTGCTTACTCATGTTTCTAAGGAAGGAAATGCAACTCTTATCTGTCAACTGAGGCAGTGCCCAGGGCTGTGTTGAGAGGCAACTGGTGCTGTAAGGAAGGGGCACCCTACTTTTGTAAGCATATACTGGTGTTTTATGCCTTGCCTTCTCTTTTCTCGTCACAAAGTTTTGAATTTGCTCTGTGGATGTGCTGTAGGAAGAAGTATCTGGGAGCACAGGGATCTCAAAGTATGAGTCTGAGCATCTGAGTGCCCGGCCAGCCAGGCTGACTTTGTATGGGCTTTAATCACTGAAGGGTCACTTGAATTGTGGCAAACCATAGGCACAAGGTCTGAGACTAGTGCTATACCCAAGCTGATCTAGGAATAACAGCAATTGACTGTTTGGTGGGGAATTTTTTATGTCTCTGTTTGTTATATAGGCAGGACTTCTGGTCTCAATCTCTGTCTGATCTGTCAGTGCCAAGAACTGGAAGAGAGTACTCTCAATCAAAGTGTCTCTGTTAGGTTAAATTATCTTCAGGAATAAAGGTGAAAGAGTTTGTTTCTTAAAATCCCAGACAAAAAGATGCACTCCTAGAAACTCTTACCTAGAAAAGAGCCCATAGGAGAAAGTAGTAAATTCACTCTTTTTTTCAGACAGTTTAGATCTCAAACCAGTTGCATCCCAGCTTCACAGACTTAGAGGAACATAGGTACTGATCTGTGACCAAATGTTATGACTTGCCTTGTTTGTAGTATCTGTTTAGGCAAAAAGTATTTTTTATTGGATTTTATTCAGAAAAGATTTTTTAGAGCAATTTCTAGGCTCTTCCCAGTGGAGCAATTTTGTCCAGTTACACTGAATTGATGTTCAGAAACTGGGTATCCTTAAAGGATGAAATACCTTGGTGAAGCCTACAGTTTATTTTCATAGGAGATAAGGTTGTCATGCATATCAGTCAGGGTCTGCACACTGAAAAGTGAGTAACAGATAGAGTCATCACTGATTTTAGTTTTTAGAATTGCAGCTTCTGTGTTTCCATCTTGTATGATATTTCCAGTTTAATTCTGAGTTCTGTAGTAGATAGGAAGTTCCTCAATAATTCTGTTTTGTCTCCTGCAGTGACATGCATATGTTTATTCACAATTGTTTCCAGTCAACACTGTGATACTCTTGTTTTTCTTTAAGCAAGAGCTTTCAATTTAAGTGGTTGGATGTTTGCCTTTAAATGTAGATGAAGCAAGTCTTCTTGATATTGAGAAGTATCCTTTCCAAAATAGATGCCATCTGAGTAAAGAGCTTTACAGTATTCACAAAGAGAAGAAATAATTCTTTTACTGTTTCTCATGTTTGTATTTGTCTTGCCTGTATGATTTTCTGCAAGGTAATATCTTGTTAGCAAACAAAGCAATTTAGTGATTATCATAAATCAAGCTGATGTCAATAGAAGGAACATCCTTAAAAGCCACAGCTGTAAGACTTTCTTCATGGAGTTTGGTTTCTAATGCCAGCTTTAAAATATTTTCATAACTGTGACTTATTGCTGCAATGATCCTGTTCTTCTTTCAGAATGAGAAGGCTTTGGGGCATTCCGTGAGCCGCTCTAGTAACATCTCAAAGGTATGTTCCTCGATATAACTTAGTCTTTGCTAAACTTGGGAATACTGGGATTTTTTTCATTTCAAACTGGGGTGATGTATGTGACAACGTGACCAGTAGAAAATGCTTTTTATGCCTGTCTGTCATTGATAGTCACTCCTGGAACATTAGAACTCTGGTGTTTTGCAGACTATCTTTACAGGTCAAATGAAATGGAAGCTACAGTAGGTTTTCTCTTTCACACTGTCAGCCTCCTTAGCTTGGTAGGAGCAAGATAAATGACAGATGCCTGAGATCTTATCTTGGAGGGAAAATGGCTCCAAAAACATCGCTCAAGTATGTTGTTTTATGAGATAAAGTTACATAAGGTATGTATAGCTGTGCATCCCATAATATGAATAGGATATGTGATTAAACATTATTTCATTGTTACTTCCACACTGAATTATTTTCAGCGCCATGACATTGTTATCAGGGCATGACTATGTAAGGATTTTAAAATATTTGCTTTTTACAGACCTTGATCATATAAAAGAAGATGCTCCACTCTTTCTAGTCACACTCCAGTATAGCCAATGGACACATCAAACCCACAATTGTTTTATTATGCCATTAGGAAAAAAGTATCTTCTGTCCAAGATAATTATTGCAAGATGTACCCTACTCCTACTTCTGCACTCCAGATAAGACTTCTAATTATCTGTAAGCCTGACAAATTATTGCTTAAACAAATACAATTGCTTAAAGCCTTCATGCAAGCAAGGCTGTGCTGGTTGACCAGTATTTTTCATGGCGTGCATAAGCTTCAACCCTTCATTGCCACAGTTTATGTCACTGATGGTAGTGACTTTTAATGAAAGAATGAGTCATCATGGCTGTGACAAGCTCAAGTGCCTTTTTTCTATTCTGGGTGCTTCTGGATCTAGGGAGCTATTCACAACTATCTCCAGCAGAGGAAACAGTGTCTGCATTAATTTACAGTTTATATGGGCACAAACAACTTTAACTTTTGAGCTGAAAGACAGAATTACTGGATGTCCTAAATAATGAGTAGGGCCGCTGTCCAGTGCACAAGGTATCGACCAAGCTGAACGTGTTGTTATTATGGATTGATGCGGGATTGTGTTTTTCATTTGGCATTAGAAAATGTGCATTCACATAAAGGGTTCTGCAATAAATACTATGTGACTATAACTTCTCATCTGAGCTTTTCTAAAATGGGACTATGCCTGTTCCTTCTTACCCTTATCTTCTTAGGGATCCTTAATTGGATTGTCAGGTTTTATTCAGCAGAGGTAGTAGTTTTGCCATTAAGTGTTGTTGTACTTTTCCCAGGGTGTCTGAAATCAGCACAAGCCTTTTGGCACCAGCAGTTTGGTATCCATACAAATCTGCACAGTTCATTCCTAACTCATCAAAGACTGGTAGTGTGGCAGTGCAGTGGAAAGGACCTTGCACTCTGGCAAAGCTCTCCCTGGGAGTGCTGGCAAGTGAGACATCAATATTTACATTCATCTTGAAGCACTGAAACATTCAACATGATTGCTGTGTGTTGCAAAAGCTAAAGTTCTCAAGGGGATCAAAAGTCAGCTTTGCCAGTGTAATGGCGGAGAGTTTTTGATTGCAAAATGAGCTTCCCAGAGGTGTTGATGTTCTTACTGCTCCTCTGTCACCTCTGTGTCTGATCCGTTCAGTGCACCTGCTCACTCTGGAGAGGAGTTTGAACAAGGGCAGAGGGTAGAAGTCCCTTCTACATCTGAACACTGCCTTGTGCATCCAGACAGTTCAGTGCTAAGATGCAACAATTATTTTGCGGTCTACAGGTGGTTTGGCTGTTGCAAGCAATTTATATTACAAATCAGGTGAGAGTATAGTAGTGGGATGCTACATGGAAGGTTAAGTACATGGAAAATTTTTCTTCAGTTCTGAGGTTTAATAGGAAAGTGCTTTTTTTTTATTGTTTATAATAGCAAACTGGCCAATAAGGCAGACTGAATACATGTAAAGGGTTAAGTATGGAAATGCTTGGCTACCTGTATAGCCCTTTCTGAAATCCCCAGAACTTGTTGATACTATACCATTTTAAGAGGAGCTTTTTAACCAAAATTGAGTTAAATCAGTTACATGCTGCATTTCCAGACACGTTGATGTGCGTGTGTGCGTACAGAAATAATCGTGCTTCCTGCGAATGACTGTTTCAGCCATTGTTTTGCCACCCAAATCTAGCTTACAGCACAGCAACCTAGCAAATCTGCTACAAATGCTTGCCACTGACATTTGATTCAAAGCTTTTCTGGTGCTGATATGTCATTACAAACCTGCTGTGATTATTACTGTGTATCTTTCCACTGCTCTCACTTGCACAGCGCAATTTGAGTGGAAAAGATTGAGTCAGAACTCAGCCTTTAGCCAAGAAAGGATGCTGTGTTGCTTGATGTGACCAAGGAAAGCAATGCCCTAGGGCTAAACGTGATCAAGGAGTTAGGCAGACAGATGGTGCCACTGAAAATGAAATCAGCTGGTAGAGGTAGCAGGACCTCTCTGAATATAGACCCCCAGTGTCGGGGCCAGGTGGAGCTGTCCCTCAGGAGAAAGGGGCAAAAAGGCAGTTCTCCAAGAGGCAGATGCTAGGAGAGGCAGAAGAGATGCTAGTACATGTGGCCAGGCCAAGAAAAAGTGATCACCTGGATACTTGGCTAGGGATGGAGGCCAGAAACAGCAGAAAAAGGAGCAGGGAATAAGATGTAGGAGGATCTTCATATGGTGCCATTAGGTTTTGTGCAGTATGTTGCACACTGGGGGGTGTGGCATTCCTCCAGGCCCTTCTTTGCTTTTTTTGGTGCATATATTTCAAACGCTCCTTTTAAATCTACTCCATGTGAAATGTTTGAATTTCTGGGATCTTTTATGTTTGTTTTGAAATAAAAAAAAAATGTTGTTGAAGGAAGCTTGAATTTATTTAGTCAGGGGACTTAAACACAGCCGGATTCCCCACTAGCCCTGTTCAAGCACAGTGATGCTGATTGAAATGGCCCCAATTGACACAGGGGAAAACAGCCCAGATCCACATCTCTGCTGTTTCCCTAAGCCAGCATTTTTACCAAGAAGCCACTGATTGCTGCAAAGTGCCTTCATCATACAAGCCACACAGAGAAATAATTAAACTTTATAGAAGCTTTGTCCTCTAAATGTAGAAGAAATTTACCCTAAAACACAGCCAGTCACTGGGAGCAGCTAAAAAAGGGATTTTCACAGTGGTGGTAATTCATGCCCTCTGCTTATAGAGAAAGGAATCGTGCTTACAAGCAGATGAAATGAGGTCACTAAAAAAGCTGGTCTGTAAAGAGTTACCCTCAATTTAGTGGTATTGTTTAGTGTCAAAGTGTCTGATATATCCTGGAATTGATAACATGATGTATGGAAATATCTTCAGGTCATCTGTGTGCTGTTCCTGTCATCTGATTGCTCTGGAGGGCTGATTTTACTGTAATGGGGAAGCACTTTGTAGGCTTATTTTCATGGCCCTTTAAGGGGTAAACTTTGAAAATGCTAATACTCGGATCACAGCAAAGGAATCAAAAGTGCACTCCTTAAAAAATGTAAATGCTTTGTCTTTCTGAAGGCCTGTGTAGTTTTATCTTTTGAGCAGAAGCGCACTGTAAAGTATTAGATTATTCTTAGGCTGAATAGCAGCAAGTGCAGACACAAAGTGGTAGCCTAAGCTTGCTATGAAATTTAAAATCCATTCAGGCTGTTCATCAGCTTGGAACAGATTTAGAAAAGCATATGAATACACACGTCCACTGTTGCCTGAAGCTTTGATGGATTCAGTGAGCATTTGTCTGTAGAAAACCAGTCTAGGGTTTTCAGTCAGAGCTTCACTATCCTGTAGTCTGTCAGATGACCAAGGCTTACTGAAAAGAACTGCTGCTCAGAGGTGTTCTGTTCAGGTATGTGAGCCTGGGGGTAGGGAAAGAGAAGTTACTTTAAAAATTTTTTTTTAAATCTTTTCACTGAACTATTGGGGAAAGGAAGACAGGAAAAATTGTTTACTGTGGAGATGAAGGTATACTCTTTTCCCCAAGCATAAGAACAAGTAGTATTATGCTGGGGCACAGTGCAGTCATGTTCATAAAGAGTGTCATAGCCTCCCTGTGCTGTGATAAATCCCCTCTCCTGGGGCTGGATTCTTACTTCATATATGTATAAAGGCCCTCCATGAAGGAGGAACCCACAGGAGTTTCCTTTCCTCTTTTGTTCCCTCAGTCTATTCAAAGTATTTTGAGGAAGATTTTAAAGACAAAGGCTATATATTTTTTTTTATTTCTTCTTCTCCCTGCAAAACCTGTGCAGTTGTTACTGGTTTTAGTCAACATTAATCCTGAGCTATAGCCAGGTTGTATTACACTTGTGGAGATTTTGAAGGGATAGATAGCCTTTTTTCTCTAGTTTCTTTAGCCTGGAATCTCTAGAGAAAGTTCCTGCCAGAATCCTCCTTCAGATTTCTTTAGGAACAACAAAGGCAAACTGACTTCAGCTTTCCTCCTAGCTGCTAGACATAATTTTAATTACAGTCATATATGAAATATGGAAGTTCTCCCAATAGTTGACTCCTGGTTCCTATCAACTTGTTGCCAAAATGGTAGAGTTGATCATCCTGAAATTTCCAGATGCCTCTTTACAATATATCTCCCCCTTGCTCCCTCCCTCCCCCTGATTTTTTAACTACTCTCCATTCTAATAATTCATCTTATCCCACTTAAAGGCAGTTGATTTTAATATGCACTGGAAGTCAAAATGGCATGAGTGTGGTAGGGAGCACTTACTGGAGAAGATCAGAAGCTGCTGATGTTGATGCTTGATCCTGCCATATTGGTATTTAGTAAAAGCTTTCAAAACCAGCCTGTCAGCAGGGCTGTCTGCCTGTCACAACATCCACTCTGTCCATAGGTGGCCTGTTCTGCCTCTCAAGTGTCAGGTTAATACAGTTGGCTTTGCTGTGGATGAGACAGGGTTGGAGCTGCCTTTGCCAAAGGGAGGGGAGGTGAATGGGGGCAGTGGTAGCATAGACAGTCAGATTCCCTGGGTCTCTTCATAGATGGTCTTGGTTTCTCTAAGTGTAAACTAAGAGAGGAGCAGAGCCTGGGGCTTTTGCTGCCTCTGGAGATGTTGCATGCAAGATAAGTGCCGTCCATGTCCAGCAGCAGCTTTGCTTTCTTACTACGTGTTTGAGTAGGGTCTACGTGATAAACAGAAAATAACTCTGTCAGGAGAGTGTAGAATAAAGGCAAGCCCATAATCAAAATGCCAGATTGAAATTTGGGTTGCAGAGTGTTTGGCTCCTTACTCTATTGCTAAATTTATATCTGCCTGAAGCTCCTTGTGCTGCAGTTCCTCCTGAGTAAAAGACTTAAATTGTGCTTCTTTTTTCCAACTCTTTATCTGTGTGCTCTGTTATTAAATGTGCATAGTTCTTACAATGTTAGTCCCAGATCCTTAGCTGAGACTTCTAGATGTTTTTGTAGCACAAATAGTAGGGTCACAGTATTGTTCCTATTCATGTGGCACCTAGAAATGACAAATTGCAGGTGTGGGGGGAAATCTTTCTTTGCTTTCTTTAGAATTCCAGTCACTTGAGGAATTCTACTTAGAGTTGTTTCTAATTTTTTACCCTTTTACCTTTTTTAGAATGTGACAGGCCCTGTTCTTTAAAATGAGATATAACTGCTAGTACTGAAGTACAGCCCAGAGTGGGACAACAGCAACAGTGCCACCTCAGATAAGCAGGTTATCTTGAAATATTCCCAAGCTGTTGGCATGTTCACTATGGCTCACTGCACAGATCACTTTATTTTCTTAGGCAGGGGGGGTTTTTTGATTTTTGGTGTGCAACATGTAATCACAAGTAGGTAATCTCGGCTGAGTTCTCTCACCAACAGATAACACTGTTCATGAAATGGGGGCAGAGTGAGAACAACCAGCTATGGCAGCACACGCATTATACATGTATGTATTGTATATATGCACGCACACACACATATATGTATATAAAAAAATGTATATGTTCCTGCTGGCAACCTTCCAGAGAGCTATAGGCTTCCAGGAATTGTTACCTTCAGAATTACTGTGATTGTTCAAACAGCAGTGCAGAAGGCCATGCTGTGACCTCACTGAATTGCATTAGATGGGAATGTCAATACACACAATTAACTAACTATTGACCTTTAGTCCTGAGCTATTTTAGGCAACCAGTTGGTCTGTGTGGAGTAACTCACTAGTACATAGGTCGTTGTTGGAGGTGATATTCCACCTTGTGAAGAACGTGGAAGTCCACAGAGATTCAGCAAGCAATTATGGGATTAGAAGGGTCAAATTCAGGCTCTCAAGGCTTAAGCTACCTGACACATATGAGCATGGCAGAAACCTCCTATGAGAAGGAGTGCTTTAAAACCTGTCATCATCACAGGTAACTGTCATCGTCACAGGTAGCCAGTTCAGACAAAGGTGCTGCTACTTGGACGGGTGCTACTGGGGCAGTAAGGGTGGTGTGTGTGCCAGAAACTACAGAGTGGAGAGGGCTTTGATTGCTTGTTTTCCCAGCCTCTTCAGAGCTGAGCCTTATGTGGGACCAACATCAGAGCTCCAGGCTAGCTGGATCCACGTCACTGTTTCATTCATCCATCACTGCCTCCTCTTTGCCCGTGCTTTGTCTTTTCTGTGGCACCTGTGACTTAGTTGGTAAACCCAGATGAGCTGAGTGGACTGGCCAGCACATCAGCTGCATGTAGCCCTGCTTCTAGAAGTGGCAGAACTTCTGCTTAGGCTTTTGGCAGCAGCTTGCATTTTACTATGCTCGTCAGGGAGTTGTGCCTCACCGTTACTCAGTGCTCTCACTGACTGATGTTCCTCTGGCAGCTGTAGCTAAGGAAGTGAGTGGCGTTAAAGCAGTAATTAGTTTTACCTCACCTTGCTATCCTACTCTGAGTTACAGTGCAACTGTGTAAATAGTTTTATGAGCAAAAAGCATGGGATGAAAGGAGAACAGACTGACTGGAGGCTCGTTGAACCATGGCTTTTGGTGGTGGCCACAGCTTGCAATAGCTTACACCAAGGGTTGGGCCTTAACTTCCTCCAATGTTTTGTTGTTCCTCTTTGTGGTGCCTATCCAAGTGTGTTAATTTCTGTTCATAGTTTGGTTGCATTTTCATTTTGTATGAAAATTGAGAAAAAGACCTTTTGTTCTGAAGCAGAAAGGTAGAGGGGAAAGGAAATGTGCCTAAGATGGGGGGGGGAGGTGTTGCAAGCCGTCCTGAACAGTGCTGGCATCTAGAAACATAATAATAAGCTTGAAATGCAAATGAAATTCCACAATTTCTTGTTTGTCCCAGCCTTTTGATTTCCCAAGTGGTGAGACTTTGACACTGTCTTGGTACCAGACAACTGGATGACAAAACCAGTAAACATCATTTTGGAAGGGAAATTTCGGATCTATGAATCTAATCATCTGCCTTAAACTGTTACGTCATATATTCTGCTGTCTTTTTTTGGAAAACGAGTTGAGAGACCTGATTCAGTCTAAGCAGGTTACCATCTGTGATTTGATCATAACATAAAACCTGAGACTGATTTATTAATTGATTTGTGATTTCATTTCCAACAATATATGGCTCTGTTTCCATGGTAGAATGCAACATGCTGTTTTACTGGTTTAATGTTTTGTTTTTAGAAGATTGCTAAATACGTCTTTTTAACTAATCTGTTATTTAAGTTTTGTTAATTTTCATTTGCATAATGAAACAGATTATAGTGTCACATCTTTCACTACATTGTCAGACTTTCAATTGAACAAAAGTAATTACTGCACAAACACTTTTTAAAAGATAGGGTTTGAAGTCAGAGATGTACCTGCTTTTAGGAGAGGTTAAGCATCGACTAGAGACCAAATTTCCAAGTAATACCTGAATTCACCTCACTGTATGATCAGGATCATACAGTGCATGTATGTGTAAGTAGTGTAAAATGTAAAGAATCATAGTTTCCAGGATGAAGCCAATAATTGATATTTGTCTTTAATTTGTTTTGTCACAGTCGTAACATAGTTCAATTTGCTTTCTGGCGCAAGGTTATTCTCTTGGATTTTATTCTATACATGAACCTAGCTGGGTAAGATGGGAAGTAAGTTACAGCATCTTACTAAGGGTCAAGAGGTGTGTGTTTGAGGCTTGGTTGAGTCTTGCCTTGAATTCCTGCAGACCCAGCTGCAAATGGATATCTGTTTTTTCAGTCTCGGTGCACCTGAGACATCCCAATGTGAGGGCAGGTACATTGCTGCCTGTAGTACTGTCGGCTAGAGAAATAAATCCCCAGCAGATGAGTTCTGTGACATGGAAGATCATGGTTGTATCTGTATTTACAAACTAGCATGTGTATCCTTGTATCTTCTCTCGCAAAGAAAGAAGAGTATAATGTGTGACGAGGAACCTTGCTTTTGCTGCAAGGGTGTAAAAGCCTGTAACAGCCTTGTTTAAATATACAATAAGGGCTTTTAATAAATTAAGTGTAAAATTGAAGGGTTCTGAGACAGATATAGTGTGTGTGTGTTGCACTATGACCAGAGCTCATTGATGGCTGAGCTAATCTGGTGTCTGAAGCTGAAGCACAGGGCTGGGCCCAGTGTGCTTCTGTGGCAACACAGCTTTTGCCACCTGAGGTCTCCCGTGGTCTGACTTAGTGCACTTGCTTGGCCCAGGTCTCTGCTGTCTGTGCTGGTTTCTGTGAAGCCCAGCGTGGTGATGACACTTCTGTTGTTCTCTAGATTGCATTGTTACTTTCTGGGTTTCAGGCTTTGCTTTGCTGATTAAAAGAACCGTAAACCTTTGTTTGAATTTGAAATGCAAGCAATGTTTTGCAGTGGTGGGTGAGCAGCACAGCCTATCCAGCAGCTGTGAAACATGGGAGAACCAGGTTTAAAGATTCTCTATTACAAAGTTATTAACCCAGGTCTCCTCCTCACCAAAACCTCTTGGAAGAGTTGAGAAGTTTGTTGAAGTGACTCACAGAACACAGTGGCAGAAAAGGTCTTTAATAATAGCCCATGGAGTCCCAGCTCTGAGACAATGCTTATTCTTACCATATTGATTTTAGAGGCTTGTCTATTAAGTGTTAAATATGCCAAGATCTTAGCTTTAGTTTTTTGAGTTAGTTCAGCGAATTCTGAATTCTTCAGTTACTCTATTCTCACTGTGCTCTTGTTGCAACTTATAAACATGACTGCTGCCACACCTCCAGGTGGATGGAAGACCCTGTTCAAGTAAGAGCAGGATGGAAGACCTCATAAAGTACAAAAAGTACTTCAGGGAATGGTCTGTGTTGGCAGATGGTGCTTGTGTGCATATGCTAGTACGGAATATAAGTCCTCAAGTAGTGTTTGAGATACTGAACTACTGACAATTCTGTCTCGTGAGTAAAACCCCAAGCCTCTAATCTCTTGTCATCATTATGAGAGGAAGGATTAGCTATTACATGGTAGCTAAATTCCAACTAGTCTATACACACACTTTCATCTAATTATTCTAATTACTATAGCATTCTTCATTTCCTGAGCTACTGTCCTGTGCAACGTTTGACAGCTGGCAGGTTCCACTCCAGGGATGTCTGCGTTTGACTTTGGGGTAAAACATTTCTGTTATGATCCTACTTCTCCAAGGATGAAGCTGTGTGACCTCTCCTTCTCACATTCAAGAATGAAGCTACTTTCTTGCAACTAGCCCTTGAATATCTGATCTAGAGGATATCTGACTCCATATGCTGTGTTTCACCCTGAAGGTGATTGCTGTGCATACTGACTTGTGACTTGGGGTTTTTTTGTTTGTTTGTTTTAATTTCACTGCAGGCTGGAAGTCCAACGTCTATCTCTGCCCCTCATAGCTTCTCTCGGACTTCTGTTACACCATCCAACCAGGACATCTGCAGGTAAAGTGTGTCGTTTGCGTGGCTACAGTGAGGCTCATGAAAGATTCAAATTAAGGAAAAAAAAAAAAACTGAAAAAGCACGTTTACAGGGAAGTAAGCAATGTGGGGTTCCCACACGAAGCATCCCATTTGTTTGACTCGACTGCTGTCTAACACTGCTTCGTTGAATCTTACTGACTGTTTGGCCCTGCTATGTTTGCCATTGCCACACTAGCCGTAATTCTCATTTCTTCACTTTTAATTATATGTGTTCTCTTTTGTAATTGTTTTTTACTTTCTGTGCTTTTATTCCACTGTTCTGCATGCAGTTCCAGTGCAGTGTTTTCTGAGTGTTGTCATCACAGTCCAGTGCAGTCTGCTGTTGTCTTGAAAAATCCGCACTGCCAGAGCCCTCTGACACAAGGGGTCACTGTGACAGTAATCTGTCAGGACACGTTACATGCAGCAAAGAGAAACTCCTGTGGGCAGGATCGGGGCCAGGCACTCAGATCTGCTAAGAATGTAAAGCCCACCCGCACTCTGAAATTCTCCAAGTCCCTCAATGACGTGGACCAGAAGGCACAGAGCACCAGCGAGTGCTTTGACTATGTGGAGCGAACACGGTCAGAAGGCAAATTGCCCCCAACTCAAGAGCAGTGTTTAAGGATTAACAAATTTCATCTTAAAGAGAGGAAACCACTGAATCTCAGGCCTCTTTCTTTTAGCAATTCTAAGCACTCCTATATCCCTTCCCTTTCCAACTACTCGAGTGCATCAGGAGGAACAGAGAACCACAGCGCTGTACATATCCCCTTGCTGGAGGACAAAGTGGACCATGACACCTCAAGGAGCAAAAAACTGTTGCGTTACCTTTTTTCCTTCTCCCACACGTCCAGCATCAGCAGCCTGCATAAATTTCATGAACTGGAGAGCTATTCCAGTCACTTCCAAGCAGAGAAATCCTCCAGCATGCTGGTGGAAAGCACGGACTTCTGCTCAGACGATATGGGAGATGATGACGTCTTTGAAGACAGCACCTCAGTGAAACTGAAAACAAGAGAGCAGCGGGCACCACTCTGTTCAGTTGAGAAGGACAGTGACCTTGACTGCCCTTCCCCCCTCTCAGAAAAGTTCCCCCCTCTCTCCCCTGTGTCCACATCGGGGGATACCTGCAGGTTGGTTTACCAGAGAACCACCTACCTTTGAACCCTCCCATGTGCGGTGGTGACCGTTCTGCTTTCCCCTGCCTTTGTGCTCTTTCTGTCTCTTCACCCTGTCACCTTGCTATAATATGTGTGATTTGAAGCATGCAGCCTTCTATCTGCTGTCTTGCACTCCTCTGATGCACTTAACAAGACTACTAAGCAAAATAATTTCTTTTAGAGTCAAATAAATTCTCTTACAATTTGTTTCAGGTTTGGGGTTCTGAGATGGTATTTTTATCAGTGCCCAAACTGGGAATATTATGAGAGACTCAACTATGCATAATAAAGGCCAAGCTGAACATGTCTTAGGTTTTAATGAGCAATGTGTTGTCCTGACAGCACTGCTGGGTTAGTCAGAGGATGGGAGTTGGAAGGAAAACAGACTGCTTGAAAATTGCTTCTGAGATCAGGTCAATATAGCTTAATTTTTTTTCCCTTCAGTTTCTATCCCACAATACTTTTTTATTTGTAAAGGGCTTTCTTGGTGCCTTGGTCAAAAGGGGCATCTGAGTGCTGGCTGTTAGTGGTAGGCCTGTGTGATGTCCACAATGTGAGGTCCAAAAAAAGGATGGATGTCCTTGTTCCAACCGCAGAGGATTAACCATGTGCACAGGTGCTGGGAACAGCAAGATCAGGACTGTCTTCATAGTGACTCGTCTACAGGTCTGCCCCATATCACCTCCAAAATGTGGCTGAGGAGCAGGAGTCATCAAGTACAGGAGCAAATGTCCAATCCCTCTACCTGGCATTTTACTATCCTAGTCTTTTTCCTCCCTGACAGCACTTTCTAAAGCTGGCTTTGTTAGTACTTGCCAATATTATCTGATTTTCCCCCTCATTACCACCAAAATCTAGTTCCGTACTGGCTTGTCATCAGCAAGATGCTGTTGTAATCCACTCACTGCTTCTTTTCTGCTTGCCAGCTATCAGCAAGGTTGCAAGAGGCAAGATGCTACACATCAGTAAGAAATTTCAGTAATGAGACAGGGATGGCAGCATGCCAGGACGTACTTCACATATGCTTAGTAACTTGTATTCAGTCCCTGAGCTCCCCACCATTCCCCTTTCAATTCATGACCTCTTCCATGTGGTTAGGACTTCACAATGCTTGATGCAACCCAAGGGTTGTGTATAAATTGAATCTGGAAATCAAATGTCAGCAGCTGGTAGTAACACTATATTGGATGTCCTTGCTGTTTCCGCAGTTAGGCTGTGACGAAAATGGGGAATTTGCAAAGCCGATGCTTCTTTAGCAGCTCTTGCAACGTTAGAATTGGAGAAGGAAAACCATTAGTCCATTTAGAGTAGGTGCATTTTGAGGTTCAGATTCAGTGCTGCAGTTCAGCAGTGTTGATCCGTCTCTTAGCAAATTTGCACTGGAATTAATCACTTGTGCAAAATCCGGGCTAAATTAACTGTTCATGATACTGGGGTGGGCTGTTTCACTATTGGTTTGGGTATTTTGCTTTATCTTCTGTTTTGGACCATAATACATGCGTAGCTGTACCTCTCTGTGCATATTTTGTCTTGAGAAGTGCTATCTGATCTGTTTAAATGCTATTTTCAGTTAAGCGCTATTGGTCTGGATGAAATGCTGTCATTTCTTGTTTTTTCTTTTTGATGCTGCATTTCTGTCAGGCTCTGTGTGTCTGCCTCATCTGTTAGAAAGCAGCTGTCTAGTTAGCCGTGTCTGTGCTCAATTATTTTGTGGCTGTGTATGTGCTTGTGCAGCAATGGAGTTCTTTAGTTTTAGCTCCTTTATGGAACACATTCCTTTGATATATATCTCAGGATCCTCAGTGAACAACCATGTGTGATCACAGATATTACATGCCCCTTCCACATCCTTTCTGTTTTCTCTTCTCCTTAATAAGCAGCTTTGCTTCTGATTCAGGATATGTCACTGTGAAGGAGATGATGAGAGCCCTTTGATTACCCCCTGTCACTGTACGGGAAGTCTTCATTTTGTGCACCAAGCCTGCCTGCAGCAATGGATCAAGAGCTCAGATACACGATGCTGTGAACTCTGCAAATACGAGTTCATCATGGAGACAAAACTGAAGCCTTTAAGAAAGGTAGGCACAAGACCAAGGATATGCTTTATTAAACACAGATCCACTCTGGAAGGAGACTGTCCTTGCCCACAAGCCTGCAGTACTCCCTACGTGTTAGTTAGTTTTTGTGGCTCTTTAGTAAGACTGGTCAGCTGTACTGGTACAAAAGGATTTAAATTAACCCTCAGCCTGGCAAACTCCACATCAGTGGAATCCAGCTCTGATAGTTAGCTATTATAGCCCAGCATCTCTCTCTGTAAATGTGCGTACATACACACACACGTAGCTATATGTATGCATGCAGCAACCTGGTTTTTTTCTTTACAGTCAGATTTTAGAGCACAAAAGTATTTACAGTTAACCACAAAAGTATTTACAGTTAACCACATTTTTTTTTTAATATGGAGTTTACTTGCTTTAGTTGGCAGCTCCAAGATCCACATGGCTTTATGTTCTCTTGAAGATATGAGTATTTCACATTAAACTTACTTTAAATCACACTTTCTGAGTGTAATTTAGTTAAAATTTATAGCTTTTTTTTTCTTTTTAAAGGATCAAACTTATTTAGTGAAAATATTAATTGTAAGTAGAAGAGGGTTCCCTGGTGAATGTGTTGTCATTTTTACCTTTTCTTAGGCTGTGAATAACCACGTTTTAGTACTTCAGGTTGCTAGAACCTGTATTTTTGTTTTATAGAAAAGTACCTTTCATAAATCTGGTGACTTAAAGTAGAGGTACTTAAATGTCCTTTTATTTTAAAGCTAATTTTGTGCTTGTATCCTTTTTTGGTTCTCCCACATCCTCTGAGCTTTCAATTTCAGTTGTCCTTACCATCAGGATTCTGAGATGAAAGTCACTGCTATTCTTAGCACAGAGAAATCTTGCCGTATCTACCATAGTGGAAGAGGTTAATAACAATAACCTCAGTCTGGAACTAGAATAAATGAGAAACATTAAATTCAGTTATGATGGGCCTAAATCATACAGAGTGGAAATTCTGGACTGCAGCCATCTAAAAACTGTTATGAGGACTTGTCCAATTCCTAAAAGTGACTCCTAACAGAAAATAGAGCAGATTTCAAACACCTCTTATTTTTTTAGAGAGATGTACAGTCTGCAAAGCTTAGTGTGTCTGGCCAATAGGATGTCCTCTGCTTATGACTGTGGTGGTTCATTGCCTTCTAAGAACCACACTTTTTTCCTTGGTAGCCCATTGGCACAGAGTACAGAACTTCCTGCTGAGGTTCTATAGAGCTGCAGTACTGACCATCATAGGCTCTGTTGTCTGTGCAGACAATGCTTTGCACAGTCCAACCCTAGGACAGTAAAGAAATTATTCTAGAGAATCCAAAGTAAGAAGAGTTGCTGTAGTTCTCAGTTGACCTCTGTTTTTTCTGTGCTCACTCTGCCTGAAGTGGGTGGGAAACATTTACTGAATATTTGTGCCCTGTGAGAAAAAAAATGTGGGGCACTTTCAGAAATGAGTCACTCAACATCATTAGTTATGTCTGAACAGGTCATCTGTGGGAAGCAGACAAGATGCCAGAAGGTAGGGACAGAGCCATAAACAGGAGTTCACCTCTCAAATACATCTAAAGAGCCCTTTTAGAGGTTCAGCTGCAGCAAGAAGATAAGGTGCCTCTGTAGCTTCAACTCAGCCTTTATGGTGTCCTTTCAGTCAGGAGCAAACAATCTGGAACTGGTGATTATGAACAGGATGGGACAAATAATAGGGCTTGTGCTTGTCTGTAGAGTAGAAATGGAATTAAACTTCCTTAGCATCTTAAAGTTATTTTGCAGCATTGGGCTGTTTAAACACTAAGTTACTAAGGGAAGAGAATGAGAAACAAAATGTGTCATGTCTCAAATGAAGATGAGGGCAGACAAAAGAGAGATGCACCATTTTAAAATTTCAAAGACATTAAATCTAAATTTTCTGCTGATTTTTTTTGTTTTAACAACACTTCAAAAATCCAGAACTGCTGACTATTTTAAGTAGAAAATGCCATGTGCTGTGTCATCGGAATAATGCAGCAGTGACCTAGAGATGTGAGTTTCCTCTCTGGACTAGTGTGCGGTTTGCAGAATACCTTCTCTTTTGCTTTGCAGTCATTTCTCTTGAAGAGGTGAGGCAGTGCAAGTTGTTTTGGTGGCTCTAAAGCCAGCAGTTCACAGGAGGTATTGTCCAGCAGAGGAGCTCAAGCTGTGGAACAGAAAAAAGAACTATAAATTACTCAAAACACAGGTCCTCAGGACTCTGTAAAAGCATTTGCAAATAGATTTAACATGGTTACTTTTTGGCAAAATAATTTAATTAATGTATACTTTCTATCAAAAGTGAACACCTTCATTTAGATGCAAAAACAATTTTCTGTTTAAAATACAACATGAAAAGGGAATGTTTGTCCAATCTTTTTCTAAGAAGACTGAAAGAATATAGGTTTCTAGTATGACATGAGTCTGGCATGTCACTGCTGGAAGTATTCAATTCTTGTGCCGCGATGAGGTTTGGATGCCTGCACAACTGGAAATGTGTCTCAGACTGGCCAAAGAGATTGTTTGTTGGCAACACAGAGAGGATCACAAAGTCTCTGTCTCATCATTCAACCATTCTTGTATTTGTAGCAGTGGAAACAATAATTCAGCATAATGGGTGATTTCAATCATACCATTCAGGTCATCCTCACCCTCTTCCACATTATTCCTACTTTTCAAAGTCCTCTTTTTTTTTGCAAATTATTTTTGGAGACATCAAATGTGCATCTCTGTGCACGAGAAGTTTATGTGCCCCAGCATATATTTTGTGAAAATGTGAGAAAAGCCCATCATAACAATCTGTTCCAAGCAGATATGCAGAGGGATGTGTATCCCACATACAAAAACTTTCATCATATACATAGGGGAAATTTAAAAAGAAAAAGATTTAAAAACACAGCTTCTGGGTGTCTTGGGTCTATGTCTTGAATATTAGAAGCATCTGTAATAGTTGTCAACTTTCTTTCCATCTTTCCTAAATGACACTGATCTGATTTTGTGGTTTTGTTTTGGGCTATATAAGCATTATTGATAGAGGCAGGTCTGGGGATTTAAATTCCTGAGTCGTCTCACTTCTAAAGCTGTCATCCCAGTTCTACTGTATATTCTTAGGGCATATGTATTTAAGTGCACTTGAAACACTGAAAATAAACTACGAGAGCATCACTGCTGTTAAGTGATGTTAAATATATGTGAAGATTGAATGAAACCCCCCGAGGCAGGAGGTGAGAGCTAAACAGCCTTGAATGGAGAACAGAGGAAGGAGCAGCATTGCTTGTGCTGTGCAAGGCCTCACATGAGGGTCCCTGTGTGCTGCAGCTGCCCCTTGTGGGTCAGCACAGAGTGATAACATTGTGCTGAGGCTCCAGATGGGAGCTGAGGGCTGTAGGTCCACTCCAGCACCAGGATGGCTCCTGTCACAGCAGGCTAAGCTGCCAGCCGTCACACCAGTGCTGGGGCTAGAGCAATAATGCCATCTGACTTTTAAAATCCTTGTTAGGAGGAAACTGGTCTCCTGCCTGGTTTTCATTCTTATCAGTGTTCTCTTTTCATCCTCTCTAGTAACTACAATAAACACCTAATTTCTTGCTCTGGTTCTGGGTTTCTTGCCAGTGGGAGAAGCTGCAGATGACAGCCAGCGAGAGGAGGAAGATCATGTGCTCTGTAACATTCCATATCATTGCCATCACCTGCGTTGTGTGGTCTCTCTACGTCCTGATAGACAGGACCGCTGAAGAGATTAAACAGGGACAAACTACTGGTAGGTTACTTCCTTATCTTCTCACTTATTTTTTTGGAATAATTATTTATCCTGAATGCAGAGAAGATGCAGAACATAAGTGTGCCAGTAATGTTTATGCTTGTCAGCTTTACCCTGAGGTTAGGTTAGTTTAAAAGCACAGTTCTAAAGTGATTTGATTAAATCAGTGTAAATTAATCTGTGGATGCTTTTTAAATCTATTTCAGATAATTTAGTTTGCACCTGTGAAATGCACAGACATGAGAGCTAATCCAGTGTAGCCAGATACAAAGTTGCCCTGCCTCAGTAAATTTAGGTTTAAATTGGAGCACTTACTGTGCAGATAAGGACATAAGCATTTGTTTGCTGCTATGGCTACCTTTAAACTGGGCAAAACCAGAACAGTTTTTAAAAAGAGAAGAAGTAAGAAGAATCTAAATCCAAATCTTTCAGGTAAATCAACAGGGTTTTCTTTCTATTCAGTCATCTGTGAGGTGGGTTAGCACAAGTTTTCAATAAATAGAATGGGTATGCTGGGGTGCAGATTTGAAGCTGCCACAGAACTGTTTCTCAAGGCGGCTGAGCTGTGCCTGAGGGTTGATATAGAAGGGATGGGTTACCTGCCAAGGCTGGGAGCTGCTAGAAGGCAAGCTGTACTTGCTTACAGAGCACTGCATGCCAACTAGACATGGAGGTGGAAAATATTTTGCTGGTGATTGAACAGCGTCATCTGAGGAGGTAGCTGAGCATTAATAAACCTGCAGATCCATGGAGCTGTTACAGAGCAGAATCACTTGAAATTAAAAAGTTTTCCTCTCATTTCTCATTTGGGCTACAGTTTAATTGTTCATTACTTCAGTCAGGAAGCTGCTTTGAATGAAACCTCTTAGTATCTGTTCCATCCAACCCCATCTCTTTCATGTAAAGTGAAAATTATTGGCCTTTCATTGCAAGGCTTCTGTATGGTAATGAAAAGGATAATATGCTTTCAAAGATATATCATCTCCAGGTTATTTTAACTAGTAAATATATTAGATGAACATGAATAGGAGGAATAATGTGAATATTTAGAATGTTATAGTGTCTTCTTTCCTCCTTTCATTTGGATTCTAAATCTGGGGAGTGCTGTACTGAGCAGTGTGTGTGGATTTATGTCCACACAGGGCCAAGCATATACTGTCACTGCCTACAGATGGCATCAGATCACCAGCAAATCAGAGGCTCAGGTATTAATCATGGGTGGGATTTCACCGGTAATAAGGCTGACGTGCCCTTTGTATTTTGGGACTAAAATATTTTCATTCTTCCCACACTGCCATGCATTTCCAAAACAACACTGCCTGTATCTTGCTTAAAAATTTAAAGAGTTGGAAGGACATGATTTTACTCTCTGAAAAACCTGACGGTGGGTGATTCAGCGTGGTTTCATATCCATCTTGTGATGGTGCTTATCTTTAAAGAGGAAAGAGACTGGATGAATACAGGACCTATGTAAGCAGAATATGTATAAAATGAATAAATAGTCTTTCATTTAAAAGTAGTTGATAGAAATGTCTAAAAGATCAAGATAGACAAATTTAGGAAAAGCAATGGTGGTAGTTTTTATGACAGAGGGTAAGCTTGGATGCTTCAGCATCTCCAACACTTTCAGTTTTGTATCAGAAAAGATGCTGTAGTTCAGATACAAGTTACTGGGTCTGATGCAGATAAAATTACCTGGTCTGCATAACAAACATGTCATGCTATATGGTTACAATCATTCCCTTATGTCTCCATGTACCATGTGATCACAGAGTGGAACAGACTTGTTGGGTCACTGAGTTGAGTCTCCTGCTATAAAGAGGAAACCATGCCATAGAATCCCTTTCATAATTTGATCCAGTTTTTGTTTAAAAACAGGTGTAAAAGGACCTAAATGTACTCCTGATGGTTGCCTTGACTCTGGGATTGTGTTGCATAATTGCTGACACAGAAAAGGAATTGTTTTGGTTTTCGCTGGTGGGGGAGAATAAACGTGATATGTGAAGTAGAAGTCTGTGTGTGTTTGACTTGGAAGCAGAATTAAAAAAAAACCCAAACAAGAAAAATGGCAACACAAGAATAGTTTGCATGACCCAAAGTCTGACAGTTTCATTACAGGACATTTTTGAGACATCCAGTATAGTCCAACTAATATTGACTAGGTCCTGTTTTTAATTCTTTGTTTTTATTTTCTTTCTTCCAGGGATTCTAGAGTGGCCGTTTTGGACTAAACTGGTAGTTGTGGCCATTGGTTTCACTGGAGGACTTCTGTTCATGTATGTACAATGCAAAGTGTACGTACAGCTGTGGAAGAGACTTAAAGCTTATAACCGAGTAATATATGTGCAAAACTGCCCAGAAACTAGCAAAAAGAATATTTTTGAAAAACCTGCACTAATGGAGCCAAACTTTGAAAGTAAAGAAATGTTTGGGGTTCACCATTCAGACACAAACTCTTCACATTACACAGAGCCAGAAGACTGTGCTGCAGAAATTCTTCATGTCTGATTGCTGGGTAGGAGGGGTGTTTCTGTATGTCCTTGAAGATTTGAATATCATTGTTTACTGCAAACTGCTCTACCTTTTTAAAATCAGCTAATAGCTGAGGGCTGGCGGATGAATTTTTTTACATTTGTTTTTTTGTTGGAATTTTTTTAAATCCCTTAGGCATATCTGTCAATGTCATCTTGGTTGCATACCTCTCAACATTTTGTGTCTTGTACTGCCTGATCAGAGAGTCACAGGATATTGGGTAGAATGAGCCTTGGGTTTGGTATCAAGCAAGCCGCTGGTGAGCTGTCATAAACTTCATGGAGTCTGTTACTTTAAAGATGACTGATTCTGGAGTATGTGTAGAGTGGGTTTAGTTGGTTGGTTTGTCTGTTCTTTATGCACGATGAAGGAGGTTGTCCCAGACACTGAGGGAAATGAGAGCGCTAATCTACCACTAACACTGCCACTAACATTTTGTCGTAGGCAGCAGGTGTAAAATTTTGCTTTACATATTGTGATGAGACTTACAAAGCATATAGCACTTTTAAAAATCTTTATTTTGTAATATGTATGTCAAATGAGAATGAAACTTGAAAGAATGTGTCATTTTTGAAACATTTCTTTGTTCTTTACCCCATCTATTTTTCTGGAACATAAACCTCTTGCCTTATAAAAAAAAATTTAAAAAATTCCAGCCTGTGATTTCCAACACATGCCCACATTATCTTACTAAACATAACACTAAAAAACATTGCCTGTTTGGGTTTCCTTTGAGGAGCAATTTTCTTCAAAGGATATTGCACTTGTGTATGGGGAGTAGTAGATGTGTACAGTGTTCATTTTCAATACATGATGGTTTCAGTGCTCTGTTTTGAGGACTGGTTTTGCTTTTTTTTTTTTCCCCCAACAGGTCAGACCATAAACACACCTGCACATATATACCTGGTTGACTTTCATTCCAAACCATTAGCAAAGGCTTTGTTGCTATATTGATAAAAATGTGAGCTGTTATGGAAAAAAGGAAGCTTTGTCAATACAGCTGAAACTGGTTTTGCTTCTTTAGTGTTGTGTCACGTGTGAACTACCCAAGAATTGGATGTTGTCAGAAGAGATGCTGAGATTAAAGTTTAGGAAGTAAATATCATATTAAGTGGATGAGTTTAAAAGTACCTGCCTGGTTTTAGTCCTGATGTGATGCACTATGTGATCAGAGAATAGTTTTGTCTGTGCTTTTGAATTCGAGACTGGCTTTTTAAGCAGTCAGCTTTCATGCAAGGAGAGGAACAGCTTTAAAATCTGTTTGCCTGGCTTTAGACAGAGGTGCCCAAAGCCTGAGGTATCTGCTGTTGATTCATTTGTCCAGTCTGCTTCACTGCACCACTGTCCAGCTCCAAGCCCTCATTTAACCAAAGTCTCAGTGTGACTGGAGCAGAAACAAAGCCCCACAAAAAGTCAGCACACAAAGTCTCTGCATTTGAAAGCTGACCTTCCCAGCCTGAGCCCTATCTGAATCTCTGTAAAGTCAATGATAATAATCTGATTGGTTTTAGTAGGAGTTGCCTGGACTTCTCAGGTAAAAGTTTTTGTTTACTTGTTGAGATACTGAACTAAATTCCGAGCTTGTTCAAGTTTCACTTAGTATTTTTCAAGTGCAACTTTGAGTACGTTCTTTTCATAGTCAAAGTAGTTATTTTAAGACTTCTTAAACAATAACAGTAAGATACCAGTGATTTTTTTTTTTTGCTTAAAATCTAATATTACTTTATTTCTGAATCAATATTTTAATGGAATGCAGAAGGGACTATGGTAAGAGAACACGTACCATTGATTTCTAAGAGCTGTTAGAGGGAAAGTATTGTGTGTGCACATGTGCCTCTGTCACTTCAGGCTTGAAGCTTACTGTCTGTGATCTTGAACAACACAGTACCTTGTTCTTGAGATGTGTTAAAACATCCAGACCTCTAGGCAATCTTAGTAAAGCTGCACTGGCGTGGGTCTGTGTACTGTACTAGGTGTCAGGATGTCCCGTGCTTAAGTGATACAGGCAGACAAACCCTGCATACCCTGGTAGTATCAGGGCAGCAGTCTTCATGACCATACACATGTAAAGTTTGTTGCCTGTGCCTGCCATAATTTAAAGTGCAATTACTCGGGCCCTTTCCTGAACTCTGCTGTGGGTGATCCTCTTCTGTTATGGGAACCCAGATAATACACTGTCTTGTTCTGTTTTCTATTTTGTTCTGTGAAAGATTCACTAAATAAACTCAGGTGGGTTAAATATCAGGTCTTGCACACCTTCATCAAGTTCTTCTGAAATGCCCAAGTGCACAAGGCTTACCCGTCCGTGAGACATTCACATTACAGCTGCAAGATGCACAGAATCAGCTGCCGACCGATGCTCAGCGCATCTCGTCCGATCTGTGACCAGCAGGTGAAATGAAGATGGACAAGTTCCGGTATGAAACCTGGTTGTTCTCCAGCTCACATCCGAGGGGCACTGGTGTGAGAGTGATGTTCTGACAAGTGCTGATATCAGACTGTAACTCGCTGGTCCTGTTGCTGTCACTGTCATAGATGATTTTTGGTGAAACGCTGTGAAATCTCATTTGGTGTTTTGGAAGCTCCATGTGGAACATGCCAGGTAGTGTTCAGTGTATTCAGGGTACTGAAGATTTTTGCTGTGCCCCTGGGTATCTTAACTTGGAATGAAAAATCATCTCCGGCAAAATCATCTAGAGAAAAATATTTGCGAATGAAAGTGTTTTAGCCAGTTTTAGCTAGCTGCTAACCATTCCCTCTCCCAGCAGGTCTTTTCTGAGTGAAAATTAAGACCTAATATTTAAACTCTTTATATTGCTTAGGAATGCTCATACCAGGAAAGGTTGCAGAAGAGATCCATCTCTCAGGGGGGTTCGTTTATGCCGTTCATATTTCTTATGCTGATTCTTGCTTGGTGTTAATGGTGGGCTTCTGAAGCTGCAGTTCTCTGCTTCTGCATGGTGCCATCAAATGTTCGAGAAGGCTGAATGGTGCTTTTTTCTTCTTTCTCCTCAAGAAGATACTGTTGACTTTTTTTCAGCTTCCAGCTGTGAGGCACTGATGCTAGCTCAGGTGAGCGCTGTCCTTCCTGCCCAGTGTCAGTAAGGGGAACAACCAACCCCTGTCAGATCAGGCTTTCCCGTACTTCCTTCTGGTAGCTTTTGAAATGACTGAAATAGAAGTCTGGTCCTTGCACCTTGGCCGAAGTTCTGAGCCCAGAATTTAAGTAGAAGGGAAAATAGGCTTAATACCATCTACCACAATCCCTTCCCTAGATTGCCAGAGCCTTTGGTGATATGTCCAGTGCCCTAGACATCTGACCAGACTCCCATTCTATTGGTGCAACTCCTATCCAAAAAAGCACCATCTGGGCTGAGTAAATTTGCCACTGTGTCACATTTGATCCATCTGCCAGGTTATGAACATGCATTATGTTAGAAATATAGATGTGTGCTGCAGAAGGTTGATCCCATTTAAGAGATCATGAGATGTTAAAATCCTATGAATTCTCAGGACTTTCTTCAACTGTAAGCCTGTATTTAGAGAGCGGTTGTTTAAAATGTTCCCATGTTCTGAAAAGATGGCCAGACCTGGGGATGACTTCCTCTGGTTAAACATCATTGAGATTGGCTTTGCTTCAGCAGGAGGCATTCAGTGAAGGTTGAACGAGCCTGCAAGGGGTTAGAGAAACACTGAGTGTCTGTGCTGTACCTGGGAAATCCTAAGAAACAATAGAATTCTCTGTCCAAGCCCACCTCTGCCAACCCCCTGTACTGATCAGAACAGTACCACTTGGGGTGCTGTAAGGAGGGGGCTGCTTGGTGTGCCACTCATCAGAAACCTCTGAAGTGGTGCATGGATTTGGCCATGCACAGGAGCTGGTTGCTTCTGCCCTGTGGGAGGCAGGGTAAATATCTATTGCAAAGTGGGACCCAGGTCCAAATTTCTTCTGAAGCTGAAGTATGTTAAGATACAGATTTCTGGTGTAGTCGGCTGTGGAGATTGTGGCCAGTAATGAAAAGGAGGTCGGTGACCCTGGGTTGGGTCCCTCTCAAATATGGGTGAAACTGGGCAAATAAAAAAGCAAGGATATTACTGGCTGGATTTCCATAGCATTATATTAGATATGCAAAGAAAACTTCTAAGCAGGACCTTTTATTTTGTGATTATTTTTTAGTTTTGAGATATTGCAGTGTCTGTATGTTCCAATGAAGTACTGAAAGCACTTGTCTTTGTATAGAAGATAACTGTTTTAAAATTGCAGCTGATCTTGTATTTAGGTAAAACATTTGTAGATAGGTAATTGTATAATGTTGAACAACTTTACACTGGCATGTGTTGTATAGTTTATACAAAACACTTCACACTTCTGCAGAATTTTTTAGTTAGTAGATTTCTAGTAACTTAAATGTATAGTTTTGTACCCTTTCATGTATGTTTGTTTTCTCAGTATTGCCACTTGCAGAGTTATTTTTAGTTTCTTAAACTGTAACTGGTTATTGGTGTGTGATACACAGGGTTATTGACTGCAGCAATAAAGTGTTTCTATAAAAAACAGAACAAAACAAAACCATTATAGTATCCATTTTGTTTGAAAAAGCATATAGAGAAAAACTGAGCTCTGCAGTAGTAGATAATCAAAGTGAGTTCTTTCACTGGAGTAAACATGGAACTTGGTGACTCTTCAGTGTAGCAGACCAACACAGACTAACATGCCATGAAAACTTGATGTTAAATGATTCATAATGATAAAGGCATAGTAACCATAAGAATAATTGGGCAACTCCTTCAATGCAGGTGCTTTGGCCTCAAATGCAGGAATCACGGGGAGAATTTTCTGGCTTCTGCCATGAAGGAGGTGAGGAGAGAAGATTGCCATGGGCCTTAAAGTCTAGACCTTCTGGAATCAACACTGAGTGATGCTACAAATGCTTCATGTCTGAAAAGAAGAAGAAAAATAGTTTTGTATACAGAACAGGAAATCCTCAACAGTTTCTCTAGAATACATTTCTACCCCCAGTAGGTCGAGGAAACTGCTGTCTGCACTGCTGTGAGAGAGCTCATAACAAAGGCATACATGCCAAAGAGGAAAGCAGATCTGGAGCATTGTGTCTGTAACAGACACGAGAGGGCTCAAAGAAAAGCTTTTCATTTCTGTTTCTTTTTAACTAATAATTAGTTTTTCATTTTCTTCTAGGTAACAAAGGAAATCTTAAATCTGCAACCCTAGAGAGGTGTCTCCTATGCAAAACAAGTCTCTGTCCTATATTCCCTTGGTAAAAGAAGTCTGGCTCTAGTAAATGAAGCTACTTATAAAAAGTTTGGAACCCAACAAGACCTCTATACAAAAACACCTTTCTGGAGAGATGGCAGGATAATTTCCAGGGCCTACTGTTTGACTGGCAGTCTCTGAGATTAAAAGCTGATAAAGGGTTTAAGGAACAGAGCCTGTAAAACCGTCTGGCGACTAGTTAAAAAATGTTCCTTGTCTTGGGTTCAGGCATCTCAAGTTAATTATAAAATAACTTAATTCCTCTTGCAAACCTTATTTCATCTGAAAGAGCATTGCTGCCACTGTGTGAAGTGTGTCCCTCTGAGACAGAGCAGAGCGTTGGCTCAGCAGCACATGGCATGGCTGCAGCTCCAGGAACAGGATTTTTCAGCTGGTGCCCAGGAACGAACTGTCTGGTGAGTAGTTACTGGTATCTGGCTGGCAGGACCAGCATGACTGGCCTCTCAGAGCAGGACAGAAGGAGTAGTTGGGAATCAGAAAGGCGGCAGCTGGGAAGATCCACGAGCGCCCTGTGGAGGCTATGGAGGTGTCAAAAGA